TTGACGAAGTCTTAATCGTCTACCAACAATATCTCATAAGTCTTCTTCTTCTTGTTATATAGACATGACTCTGTCTGTTTTTCAATGTGCCTCCAGTAAGTTGTTGTTCCATCGTTTTCGTGGTCTTCCTGTAGATTACATCTTAGTCATTGTCTTGTCATGTAGATTACATCTTAGTAAATGTGCTGTTGTAACCATGCATTTTGTCCCTTTGGGGAAATTAACAGGTTAAATTTTCTGCTGGTTATGTTAAATTGGTGTAGCATACGTTGTAAATCATCTTCACTTTGAGAGAATAGTATTGCGTCGTCTGCATAGCAGATTATTTTAAGTTATTTTTCTCCCATTTGGTATCCTTTTTTAGTTCTTACTTTTTTTATTATTTCGTCCATAATCAGGTTGAACAATAGAGGACTCAGGTAATCTCCCTGTCTTATCCCATTGCCAGCTTCAATAGGGTCGGTTAGTTCTTCTACTTTTACTTTTATTGAGTTGTTTTGGCAGATATTTTTGATCTTTTTGATTATTCCTAGAGGTATCTCTCTTGCGTACAGTAAGTGGATAAAGTCTTTTAATTTTGTTTTATTTCGTTGGTGGTGGATATTATAAAAATATTATTCTGGAGAACTTTATTTTCTTTTTTTTTAAACATATAACTCTGCGGCTACTACTAACCTACTACTACTACTCTAACGGGCTCTAACTAGCGGCCATCATTGTTCTCTGTCAGCTGTCAGCTTAAGCTGTCTACACACTAAAGTTCATGATCTTAAGCTGCATACAGACTAACACAAACAGTAATGTCTAAAATACAACTTAGATTCTACTCTAAACATAAAACTTAATTCTTAATACAGCACGCTTTTTTTTGAGTCCTCATTCTGTGCTGTTTCAGTTGAGGTATTTTGTGTTTCTATGACTGTGTTTTCTAATTCATCAGCAGATTCCATCTCAGATGACATATTTACAGTCTCATTATTTTCAACATGGCACATCAAACTAGAACTAGGAGCATCATCATATAATAAATTTGAAAAATAAGACTCAGAAACTGTAACTGGCAGGTTGGTTTTATTTAATAACTTTCGATTTCTTCTGAATTGTTGGCCTTTTGTATCAACTAACAAATATGACCTCTCAATATACCTATCAACTACTTTACCTTTTTGCCATGAATTATTCTTCCGGAATAACACATTATCGCTGTTTTATCATAGTGATCTTTCATTTTTTGTGAATTTGCTTTTAATTTTTCTGAAATTACTTGTGGATCAACAATATTAGATTTTAAATTTTCAGAAGAAATCGGCAGTTTTGTTTTGACAATACGGTTCAACAATAATTGAGAGGGAGCGAAACCTATACCTGTAAGAGGCGTATTTCTGTATTCCATCAAACAGTTTTGCAGCTCGTTTACGTTACTAATTTTTTTTTAGCATATTTTTACATATCTGAACATATTTTTCTGCAAAAACATTGAAGCAAATTGTTTCATACAAAAACTATTAAAAGGAACATTATCTGCAAAAAATATATCTGGGATACCAAATTTTGAAAAAGTTTCTTTGCAACACCTTATAACCGTATTAGCAGTTTTATCATTCACAGGAAATAACTCTATCCAGTGAGAGTACAAATCAACAATTAAAAGATAACTTTTTGACTTAAAATCTAAAAAATCTGAGAATAAAAACTGCCATGGCCTTTCAGGTTGCTTGTGATTAATCAGCGTTTCTTTTTGATTTAAAGGTTTGTTCAACTGACATGGTTCACAGTTTTCAATATAAAATTCAATGTCTTTTGACATTTTTGGCCAGTACATTATTTCCCTAGCCCTTAGTTTTGATTTTTGTATACCAAAATGTGCAGCATGTATTAGACACAGCATTTCTTTTCTCAGTTGAGCAGGAATAATAATTTTTTTATCAAAGAAAAGCAAATTATCTGACAAATGAATATGTTCTTTAAGGTTATAGTAATATTTTACATCAGGTTCAAGTTTATGATTTTTAGGCCAGTTTGATAAACAAAACTTTTTCACTTGAGTCAAAACCGGATCATTTTCTATGGCCTTTTGAAAACTATTCTTTTTTTCTTTTGTCATTGGTACTGACAGAGAAAGAGCATGAACAGTATATTCTAATTCTTTGTCAATTGGAGTTTCGGTTTTTATAAAACATCTGCTTAAAGTATCTGCAACATACATTTTTGACCCCGGTAAATATTCAACTTTAATGTTATATTTTAACAATTTTAACATTCTTTGTAAACGAGCAGATACATCATCAAGATTCTTTTTAAAAATTGAAATTAATGGCTTATGGTCTGTGTCAACAAGTATTTCACGACCATATATCCAGAAATGAAATTTCTCACACGCAAATACTATGCCCAAAAGTTCTTTCTCAATTTGAGCGTATCGAATTTCAGAACTATTCATTGAACGAGAAGCAAAACTTACAGGATGCATATCTTGCAATAACACACTACCAATACCTTTACTAGAGGAATCTGTTTGAATTAATATAGGTTTATTGTCATCAAAAGGTTTTAAAATTGGTTTATTAGTTATAAGTGCCTTAAGTGCATCCAACTCTTTTTGGTGAGAGTCATTCCACTGAAATTTTACATCATTTCGTGTCAAATTTCTCATATTTGCAGTTAATTGAGATAAGTTTGGCAAAAATAGTATTCTAAGCAAATCTTTTTTGTTTAATGGCTTTTCAATAGCCATGACAGCTTCAATATTTTTTTTAGAAGGTTGTATACCATTACTTGATGTTTGTTCCCAAAAAATTTACCTCACTTAACTTGTATTGCAATTTTTCTAAATTAAATTTAATATTGTATTTTAAGGCCCTTTCTAAAATTTTTTTAAAAGCTTTATCATGCTCTTTTTCATTCATACCACAACAAATCAAATCATCAAAATATATGTAAACATTAGGAATATCCCCAAAAACCTCCATATTTTATTTTATTAATTCTTAAATATACAACAAATTTGACCCGGTCAAATGCCTTTGTAAGGTCCACGAAACATAGATATGCCGGTTTGCTTGATTTGCAAGAGCAATGATTTCTCTTACACTTGCCTCATTTTAAATATAGCGTCGGTGCATGATCTTCCCTACCTAAAACCTTGTTCTTCTGTTAGTGTTAAAATTTTATTCAATTTATTTGTTAACACTTTGGTTGTTAATTTTAGTGTTGTGTTTGATAAATTAATTCCTCTGTAATTTACCGGGTCCGATTTGTCTTCCCTTTTTAAGAGAGGTATTAGGATGCTTGATCTCCATTCTTGAGGAATTCTGTTTTGTTCTATTATTTTTTGGATTAGTTTTAATAGTTATTTGGTCAGATCTGGTATTTTGTCCTCTCCTGATGATTTCATATTTTTTAATTTTCCTTAATGCTTCATTCACCTCTTCCTCCTCAATATTTATTTCTTCGTTTTTCGTCACCTCTGGTGTTGGTGGTTCATATCGTCACCTTTAGCAAATAAGGATCGAAAGTAGTCTACCCATGTTTCCTTCTGAATGTGTTTCGTTGTTATTATTTCGTTCATCTCTTTTCTTTGTCTTCTGATCATTCTCCATATTTCTTTTTGTGTATCGTAGAAGTCGTGTTCTATCTGTTTTGAGAAACTCTGCCAGTGTTCCTTTTTTATTTGTCTAACTAAAGTATTCGTTTTACTTCTGATCCGTTTATAGTGGTTGTATGCCTGTTGTGTTTGTTGTGTTCTGTATTGTAAAAAGGCTTTCTTCTTTTCTTCACATTTTGTCTTCACTTCCTCTCTAAACCATGGTGTTTTCTTTATTGATATGTTAGTGTTCGTTACTTTTCTCTTTCGAAGTGATTCTGTTGCTGCGTTAATTATATTATTCATCGATGTTATCGTTTTCTAATATTTCATTCCCAGCGATCTTCTCTGATATTCTTTTCCCGTATACGTATTCCGTGGATTCCGTATTTAGTCATTCGACTTTTGGTTGGAAAGTATTTCAGGATTATTTTTATTTTACATAATACTAGGCTGTGGACGCTACCTACCTCTGCTGATTTGAGGCATCTTACGTCGATTATTTTCGATGGACGTATATTTCTGTTGGTTATAAAATAATTTATCATAGATCTTTGTCCACGAGTGTTAATCGAGAGAGTGTCCACGAGAGTGATTAAATGTATGTTTGTGTTGGTTTTTGTGGTCAAAAAATGTGTTGTTTATTCTTAGTTCGTTATTCGTGCAGAAGTTGATTATCAGTTCTCCATTTTCGTTTTTAACATTCTCATTATGTTTTCGTATTACTTGAATGCCTATTCGAGCGTTAAAATCTCCCAATATTATCATCTTTCCTCTGACTTGATCTACTACTTGTTGTAATTGGTCATAAAACGCTTCCCTTGTTGTTTGAGACTTTCAATTTCTTTGCATATATTGTAATAGTAATAATTTTTTTTCAGTATTACAGTATTACAATTTCTTTTTGTAAAATGGTATAAAATGTTTTATTGTTAAAATGTTTTAAAAATTATCCAAAATGAATTATAAATTTTTAGAACGTTTTCGATCCTATCAGATCATCTTCAGTAAAAAAATTCTGTATAATATTTGGAACCAGCCACATGATGAGGTCAGATGACCACTAAATTAAGTAATTTGAGTAACTAACATTTTAATTAATAAATTTTAATAATTAAATTACAGGCAAATCATAGAGACGACAAAGACTCAAGGTTGTAAAGCTTCACAAACATAAAAAGGTTAATACATAAGAGAATTCCATCATTTTCTATATTATTACCTTTATATAAAAAACTGAAATGTACACTAGTTACGTCAGTTTTTCCAATCCTTTTGCTTCGGTTATACTTGATTTTCGTTACCACTGTAATATCTGAATATTATGTTCTTTAAACTCCCTATTTAATTTTTAATCATTTATTATTATATTTTTATTGGGAGTATGTTATTTTGTTAGAATTATTATATCTAAAATATGAAGATTAAAAATGTAAAATACTGCTTCGGATCAACATAGGTTTAATCAATTGATAAAAAATATAAATAAATCAAGTGGCATTTACATCATTTGAATTTTTTCGATTACTATGTTTAAAAATGTGAAATACCTTACAAGAAATCTAACAGATAAGTTTTACATTGACTACTTTTAAGTTTTTTTCTAAATAGAACTATCAGGTGTTTGAAAGAGCAGGTTGATGAAATTGTTGTTTTTTGTGTTTCTATATATTATCTTTTCGTTTTTAAATATTTTATACATTTTCTTCAAACTAATGTTTCTAAAAGAGTGCAGTCCATGAATTGTTTGCTACTGATGTTTTACCTACAAAAAAAATACAGACTTTATCAAATGCGACCCAGTAGCGGATATGGACGTGTTCTCTTATATTCCTCTGTTTCTCGACAATTTGGCTGTTTGTAGGCCTCCATCCTCTCTCCTGAATGTGTTGACTCATCCAATTCGGTTTTGAAATTTTCGGTGCATCTGTGAATATTTTTTTATTTCCTTATGTTTAAAACCCCGTCCTGTTTGGCCGATGGAAAAGTACACACATATATATATATATATATATATATATATAATATATATATATATATATATATATATATATATAGAGAGAGAGAGAGAGAAAAATTCCCTACAATTTCCCAATGTCTGCGGTTTGATAATACTGAAGCCAGATTTAGATACATTATCACGGATTAGAATTTTTTTTAATTATGGTTATCCGCATTACAAGATTCATACATACCTTACGAAAAGACCTTGAATAAGCAGCTGCTTACTTTTCGTGATAGGTGGTTATTCAAGCAATATATACCTTCAAACCAGGGAAGTACGGGATAAAGATCTGGGCAGCATGCGACAGTTAAACTTCATATTTTTCTTCCTCTTCGCGTACCATATCAGAATTATCCGACGTTGGCGATCACCATTGCGAAGGCTTCTCGATATTCTGCAATATGGAATAATTGTCCTGCATTTGGTATCTGAGTCCATTCACGAATGTTTTTTAACCAAGAAACTTGTTTTCTTCCTACACCTCCACGGCTCTCTATTTTGAATTTAAGGATCAGTTGTAATATTTTATATCGACTTTTCCTTACTATATGTCCCAGATAAGACATTTTTCGATGTTTAACAGTCTTTAGCAGTTCTTTATCTTTGTTGACGTTCCTTAGTACTTCTTTATTAGTTTTCCTTGCTGTCCAAGGTATCTTCAGCATTCGTCTATGAACTCACATTTCCAAGCTTCAATTTTGTTCATGATCGATACTTTTAGCGTTTACACTTCTGCACTATACAAAAGTACAGACCAAACATAGCAGTTAACCATTCTTTGCCTTAGTTCTAAACTGAGATGGTTATTGCAAAGAAATGACTTCATTTTCATAAAAGTAGTTTTAGTCATTGCTATTTTACGTTTTATTTCTATGTGATCTAGTTGGTCCAATATCACAGTTCCCAAATATGCCATTTTGTGAACTTTCTCAACTTGGACTCGGTTTTAATTGAAGCTTTGCATCGGGATGTAGGTCACGACTAAACATTAAAAATTTGGTTTTGTTTGAGTTTATTTTAATGTCCATTTCTTCTCTTAGCTCGTGAATACGATCAAGCAGAATTTAAGGATCTTCAATATTATCTGATAGAACTACTGTATCGTCTGCATATCTAGTCACATTAAGTAGTTCCCCGTTGATTTTTATTCCATATGGTTGTCTCTCAAGTGCCTTTTAAATAACTGGTCCGAGTAAACATTGAACAATGTTGGCGACAAAATGCAACCTTGTCTGACTCCTCGTTGTATAGAGATTTCATCGGTGTAGTTATCTCCAATTTTTACGAAAGCAGTTTGATTCCAGTACAAATTTTTAATGACACGAATATCCTTGTCATCTATTCCGATATTTTTCAGTATTTGCATTAATTTTACATGCTGTACTTTATCGAATGCCTTTTCGAAGTCCAGGAAACATGCAAATACATCTTTTCTTTGGTCACGGCATTTTTGTAATAGGATGTTAAGCGCAAAAAGTGCCTCCTGGTTCCATAGCATTTCTAAAACCAAATTGGGTATCTTCAAAATCTTCTTCGCATTTGCGTCTAATTCTGTTGTGAAGTATTCTGAGGAAAATTTTAAGAGTGTGGCTCATTAGGCTAATTAATCGATATTCTGAGCATTTTCTCGCATTGTGTTTTTTAGGTATTGCGACAAAGATGGATTTGAGCCAATCTGTGGGAATCACTCCAGTGTTATATATTGAATTAAAAAGTCTTACTACTACTTTTATGTTATCATTCTCTATTAGTTTCAGCAACTCAGTTGGTGTATTATCTGGACCACAAGCTTTTCTAATTTTAAGCATTATTTATAGCGTGTTCTACCTCGCATTTCATAATTTCTGGGCCGTCAGTACAGTTTTGGTAGAATTCGGCAATATTATTCCTGTCATCTTCAAACAACTCTGATATATACAGCTGCCATTCTTTCTTATTTCGTGCTCATTTACAATAATTTTGTTATTATTGTCAACGAGTACAGAGGGAACTCGTTTTTTAAATATGTTACTCATTTCTTTTAGTTTTTTGTGCACATTAAATAAGTCGTGTTTAGATATTGCATCCTCCATTTCGTCGCACCTTTCTCTCATCCATTTTTCTTTGGCTAATTTGATCTCCTTTTTTATTCTTCTCTGCAGGTGTCTATATTCTGTTACATTAGATTTTATCAGTCGACGTTGTTCCATTAATTTCAAGATGTCGTCTGTCATCCATTTATTTTTCTTGATTAAGTTTTTTCTATAATCATTGTTTGTGGAGATTTCGTTAACTCGGTTTTTAAATTCACTCCATAGTTCTTCTGTTGATCTAGTTGATAATCAGATCCAATATCTGCCCCAGGATATGTAGTGACTTTTTTGACGGTATATCATATTTGTACAATTGCCAAATATATAGTTGTAAAACCGGAGACCACGCGAATCCAACCAAGGCAAGCGAGTTGTCTTAGAGATGGCAACTCGATGGAAAGATCAAAAATAAATGTGACAAGCAAAACTTTGCTTGGATCAATTAAAAAATAAATAAACAAACCAGAACTTCCTCAGCAATTAGTAAATGCACGTAGTAGGGATGGGATGTATATTCAACAAAATTTGGTTACTAACATAAAGCTATATTATCCTCCTACTTCTCGAAAAATAATTATATGTAATATTATTATTTTCCTATTAATAAATGTTGTTTAAACACCCACAAGGGGTGTCTGTGTGACAAATAGTTTTTTCAAAGTCTGAGTTTGAAAGTTTTTGATTGGTTAGCTAAGCATTTAAGCTTGATTCGAAGATTGAGGTTTATTTTCATTAAGCGTGGCAACAAAAAACGTTTCCGAAAATTGTCCTGAACATTTGCCTTTGGGAGTAGAGCAGTAGAGGGGTTGAAGCAAGCAAGATTATAAGGTATTTTTGATTTTCAACAGTTGTCCTCACTGCCATTTGAGCAGTTAAAAAGAAAGATTAATAACGAATGCATATGGACAAGAAACGATAAAATTAAGAATGAGTGTGTTGTGAATTGTCTAATTTCTACAACATAATTAGCGAACCAGACGTTGGGACTGGCTGAGTATGAAGATTTGGATTTAAGAATCCTTCGTCGAAATAATTTCTAAGTCGAATTGGTAGTAAATAATATTTGATACGTTTAAAAGCACTTTATTGTATAAAGTAAACTTTGTTACAAAAGTAGCACTTTGTTACAAAACGAATTTAACTAAAATTTAGTTTATTCTTATTTCTCTACCATGTGCGAAGAGAGTTTTACGTAGTACGGGTATAAATTGCAAAATGATAGAGATTACACTGTGATGCTGGCGAGAGAATGGCTGGTCCAAAACCGCCAAATTCAAAGTTTTTAACGGCTGTAACGAACTTTGATGTTTTTCATACAGTGGGTTATAATATCAGCAATAAATAATTTTTTGCCATATATTTACAAAGAAAATGCACAAGTAAGACAATAAAACTGAAAGATTTATTACTATTTAAATAAGAATTCCGAAGACTCTAAACCTAATGACACACTTTCAGGTAGACATTAATCCCGCCTTTTAGTGAAGGTAAAGTAGGTGAAATAACAATTTTAAGAGCAAGGTGTCTAGTTGAAAAAACAGACTTCCTAAACTGGTTTTATTTGAGACAAGGCATGAACAGGCTTTCGTTTTTTATTTATTAATTGTAACAGAAAGAATAAATAATTCTTGATGGTATGTTAAGACTTTAACAGAGTGTGTTAGAGAAAGTCTAGTGGTTGCCACAGTTGATTGAAAAATGAGAGAGTATAGACTAATATGGTTCGAACATGTTCAACGTCGAGATGCTAAATACCCAATACGAAGAATCGCTGATCTTCTAGTAGGCAGAAGAATACCTGTAGGGAGACGCTTAGACAGGACAATATGACCCAAGATGAAACTTATGGAGAAATGTAATTGGGAAAGCCGACCCATCATAGAGATAAAAATAAAAATAATTGTGCTATATATACATCCCCTTTTACAAATTAAAATAATTGTATCACCATAAATACAGTTTTTTCTAAGATTTTTTTTTTGAACATGAATCTTTATTGCAACATTGTAGAACACTTTCTGGAATAATAATTTTTACTTACAGGTATGGCAAACATGCAAAGCAGACGGAAGTTTTGATGTACACGGTGAACGTCAGTGGTGTTCGAAAAATCTTGTTAGTTTAAAAGGTTTAAGAGAATGGCAACAAATGGTTAAAGAAATTAATCAGCGTTTGGAATTTATGAACATAAAACAGATCCATGGACAAACGGAATTGCAAATAGACGAAAAGCCTCTTATATTGAAAGGTAAGTTAAATATTTTGTATTTTCTTTAACTTTTAATTAAAAATCATTTAAAAAAAAAACGCAATTGGCTACTTTTATTTCAACGTCCTTTCTCTACACAAAGAGTGCACAAGATAGTATTTTTGAAGAGTGCACTGTAGATGTACTGTCGGAATGAAAGGTTATTCCTAAAACCGTCCAATAGCTTCCAGTAAGCTTGGATTTGCGGTTCACCTAATATAAATCATAAAAATATACATAAAGGAACTTGGAAATCCCCTGAAAATGAAATGACTAACCAAATAGATCATATTATTATCATCGATGCAAGACACTGCTCTAATTTAATAAATGTTAGGCCATTTAGAGGAGCAAACATAGATAGTGATCAGTATTTAGTTAAAACACGATTTAAAGAGAGAATATCCAATATCCAATTTAAAAAAGGAGATCGGAAAAGGAGAGAAAAAAATTGACATTAATAAACTAAAAGACAGCAAATAGAAGCTCAAATCAGGACAGAAAACTTAGAAGAAGAAGAAGAAGATATTAACCAACTATGGGCAAATATACGAGATATTGTGTTACAGAAATCGGTTGAAATATTGGGCAAAACCAAGTCAGAAAAAAGATATCATTGGTTTGATTATAAGTTAGAAATGGCCACAAATAGAAAGAACGCAGCATATCAAAAAACCATCGACGCAGGTTGTACACGGAGAAAAAAGGAAGAGTATAGACGTCTTAGAAGAGAGAAAATACGTATCCATCGACGTAAGAAGAGGGAATACGAACAGAACACTCTCAATGAGATACAAAGTTTATTCGATAAAAATAAAACGAGGAAATACTACAAATCCTTAAATAATAGCCGTCGAGAATTTAAACCACGATTAAAAATTTGTAAAGACACTAACAGTGAAATTCTACATGATTGTTCTTAACAGATGGGCACAATATTTCAGCGAAAATCTAAGTATAAACGATAAAGAAGGAGGTTACAACATAGACAATCAACAAAATCTACAACGTCAACTACACAATGAAGACCGAACAAGAGAAGAAGTGTCAAATGCCATCCTAAAACTCAGTCCTAAAACATAATAAAGACAATAAAGCCCTAGGAATCGATGAAATCTGTTCGGAAATGTATAAAAAATCTTATTATTTTGCTCTATTGTCGCAAAAAATAGAGGAGGAATATTGTAAGTTTTTGGAAATTTAAAATTATCTGTAGTAAAGTGTTGTCGGTCGGGTGTAGAAATACTTTAACTTTAATTAAACTCTGCAACATATACTGGAAAATATTATTTGGTTGCCCTAGTAGAAACACGTAAAAAGGTTATTCAAGTGTTGGATAATTGCCTGATGTGTCTGCGTAAAAATTAATACACAGACAATGTGGCAACAACGTATCGATGTCTTTTTGGTGGGCGGACAATGTCATTGTAAAAGCAGCGTTTGGCTTTCTTTAATTCAATATTGAAATGTTTATACAATAAATATATACCTATTCATTCTTTTGATATTCACCTGATATGTTTATATTAAATTCGTTTCAGTTTCATTAAAATTAAATATTGTTTTTAGATGATCATCGCTGGGGCATTTTACCCCAATTTTTTTATAAGAGAACAAAATCCAAACGAAGTCGACGACAAGCAACATGTTAGAGCTGTTGGAGGCCGAGATCCATTTCGTTCAGTTTATCTTACGGGAATGGATTCTGAACAGCCCGGTCCTCTTTACATTAGAGCTATTAAGAGTCTCTTCAAAAATGAAAATGATAGAAATACTAATATATCAATAGGTTTTGACTCTAGCAATAAAATCTACGTTGAATTCAAAGTTTTAAGCCATATCCAAAATAGAATGGCTATTTCAATCAATGGTAGACAGATGGTGGCTGATACCATTCTTGGAAAAATTCCACGGGAAGTTTATGAAGCTATTAGAAAGAGGCAACTTCAGCACCCATTTCAGCTACACTTATTACCGTAAGTTTATCACGTCCTTAAAACATAATTTTAAAATAACCAATGTTCTCATAGAATTTCTCAACATAAAAATAAAATTTTTCAAAGGCAATTTAAAATCTGAAATATTTTAGACAATTTATGTTGAAATTTAATTAATACCTCCATTATATTGGTTCAATTATTTTTTACTGCTGACATCATCCCGGTTCTTCTTATTTCGCTATCTCCTTTCGAAGGTTGGCATTCCAAATGGCAATTGTAGCTTTGGAAACTGCTGCACGAAAGATTTCTGTGGATGAGCGGTCAAACCATCTCCTCAGGTCTTTCAGCCACGAGTTCTGGCGTCTTCCAAATGATCTTTTGCCCTGCACTGTACCTTCCAATATGATTTCATCATCATCCAGCCCTTTGCGTCCACTGCTGGACATAGGCCTCCCTCATTTTTGTCCATTGTGCTCTGTCTTGAGCACTTTTCATCCAATTTCTTGACATGTTCTTGAGATCGTCAGTCCACCGTGTAGGGGGTCTTCCTCTACTTCTTTGGTCTAATCTCGGCCTCCACTCAAGCAATCTCTTCGTCCACCTTTCATCACTGATTCGAGCGACGTGTCCGGCCAGTTCCATTTTAGTGTGGCAATTCGGGAAATTACATCGGTAACTCCTGTTCTTCGTCTTAAGTCTTCATTTCTAACTCGGTCACGAAGCGATATACTCAGCATTGATCTTTCCATTTTCCTCTGAGCTATTTGCAGCGTTTTAGAACTTGTAGCTGTCAATATCAAAGTTTCGGCACCATAGGTCATCACAGGCAACACACATTGGTCAAATGTTTTACGTTTTAAAGAAATTGGTATATCGCTTTTAAAGATGTCTTTGAGTTTTCCATAGGCTGCCCATGCTAGGTTTATTCTTCTTCGTAGTTCTCATGTTTGGTTGTCTCTTGTGATCTTTATTTCATGTCCAAGATATATGTATTTTTCCACTAGCTCTACTTCGTTGTCTCCAATATTGATATTTCCGCTGGATACTAGGTTTGCCATGAATTTTGTTTTGGAGATGTTTATTTTAAGACCCACACTGGCACACACTAACTGGAGTTCATGTAGCATTGTACATATCTCCTTGAGGTTATCCGAGAACAAAACTATATCGTCTGCGAATTTTAAATTAGTTAGTCTTCTACCGTCAATGTTCAGGCCTTTCTCTTCCCAGTTAAGTTTTTTACAAGCATATTCTAGTACTGCGGTAAACAGTTTAGGCGATAAGGTATCACCCTGTCGGACTCCTCTGCCGATTGGGATGTGATCCGTCTTTTCATGTAGTTTCACCGACATAGTTGCGTTTTTGTATGTATTGTAAATTAACCTTGTATATCGGTAGTCAATGCGGCATGCTTGTAGTGCTTCCAGGATTTTGTCAAATTCTACCGTGTCAAAGGCTTTATGGAAATCTACAAAAGCCAGAACGAGTGGTCGATTGTATTCGATAGTCTTTTCTATTACCGTTTTAATGCTCTGTAGGTGATCATTTGTTCCAAATCCGGTACGAAATCCCGTTTGCTCTATTGGCTGGTAGAAATCAAGTTTTTTCTCAAGACGATTCGTTACTATCCTTGTAAAGAGTTTGTATAGGTGACTAAGAAGACTTATAGGTCTGTAGTTGTCTAATTCATGGGGATCTCCTTTTTTGTACAATAGAATTACCTCAGCATTGTGCCATTTGTCGGGTATATTCATCGAGCAAAAAGACAAAAGAGGGAATTTAAAGGTAGTGGGGGCAAAAATATTGTTAGACAGGAAGTGCAATCTTTAGAGGCCACATTAAACAAGGAAAGAGAGTCTCTCTCCTTGTTTGACATCACATTTAGTTGGGTTATGTTATTGTTTGTCCCAAATGTCACATGAAATATTTATATTGAAGTTTTTTAACAATTATGTCGCATTTTAGACTATTACCGTTAATAATTCATTAAAACTTTCTCGTCTAAGGCACATTCTGAAAAATATTATGTAGCTGCTGTTAATAAGTGTCGGAAAATTTAAATTTGGCTCATTCGCATTTCCGGATATGTCCGCCATCAGAGGCCACTTTTTTGGTCTCCTTTTCATAAGGATTAGATTCCCTCTTTTGTCTTTTTGCTCGATGGCTATATTACTGTCCAAAAGGCACATGTTAAAAAGGTTTTTTATTTCCTTAAGTATGCAAGTGCCTCCGATTTTGATTGCATCAGTAACTACACAATCTTCGCCTAGAGATTTGTTATTCTTAGCTTTTCTTAGGGCTAGTTTTATTTCGTCCATTGTGATTTCCGGTAGTAGTTCTGATCCTTGGTTGACAATGCCCTTTTTCTTTGTTAATATTTCTGGTACTTGATCTTCTCTGCTATTTGCTTTGTGTTGGCTTGTGTACAGCAATTTGTAGAAGTTTTCAACTATTTAAGGGTTTCCTCTCTGTTAGTTGTAAGATGACCATTTCTATCTTTAATCTTTATTATCTGCCTTGTCCCCGTTTTTAGTCTTTTTCTCAATACGTTCATACTTCTATTGCTATCAATGGTATGTTCGATTTGTTCTTGGTTGTATTTTCGAGTGTCTTGTCTAACAGCTTTGGATATTTCTTTATTTAATTTTTGTAGTTCGTCGGCTTTAATTTCCATCTCTCTTCTCATTTCTCTTCTTTTCTGCATTAGTTGCCTAGTATTTTGGCTAATCTCTTCTTTTTGAATTCTAGGACATAATTTGTTTTGACTTTCCAGTAAAGCATTTGTTAATTTATTATTTAAGTCGTTTATATTATTTTCTGTTTCAGGACTACTAAGTATGTCGGAAATACATTGCTGAAAACTATCAAACAAATCTGTTTAGAACCGTGATGTCTTTAACGGTGTGTTTTTTGTCCGTGATAATAAAATCTATTTCGTTTTGAGTTTTTATATAATATGATTTAGAGTAATTCATATCTTTCACCTCTCAATACACGGCTCAAGTATTGTATTTTTTTGTGTTGCTAGTTTTCTCATTTTATTTGAGGTCCTGGGGCGAAATTCTTGAAGGTCGTCCAAAAACAATTATTATGTCAGATAACGCAAGATTTCCCCGTGTTTGGAGATAAATTTTTCCTGGTGAACATTTAATATAACATCCAATAAACATTTGGGGGTCACAAGGATTTTCCCTTAAAACATCTCATGTTTATTGACATAAAGATGGATTGAAAAAATTAAGTATCTATGAAGTCCGTAAAATAGTTTCGAAACACAATTTCGAATCAAATATTTGCTGTCTTTTTCATTTTATAACTATGAAGTCTATAAAATTGTGCGAGACGACGAATCAGTGATGTAAAAGTAAACAGTGGCACATTGTATGTGTTTTGTTCTTGTCTTGGAAATAAGAGGACATATCTCTCAAAAAGGGGAAAATAGACAGCAGAAGGGGTCCAGGGAGGAGAAGACACTCGTGGCTTCAAAACTTGCGGCAATGGTTCGGATTGTCATCTGCTGAACTATTCAGATCTGCCGTAAACAAAGTCAGAATAGCCATGTTGATTGCCAACGTTCGGAACGGACAAGGCACATGAAGAATAAGATCTCTCAAATGTCCATACAATTGAAACAATGCAAATTGTTAATCTTGATTGGTATCCCATCATTTGTTTGTTAGAATCATTCAACGAATTGAGGAAATCAACCGTGTGAGGTATCTCAGCTCGTACAATGAGAGATTACAAAAGTTATTTCTTTTATCTCTTTTTTTTATATAATAAGTTTATTACAGCTGCCGCCGTTTCTCGCAACTTAGCTTCCAACGCTTGCGATCGTTCCAGTCATCTACTTGTAGATTCCTATCTTCCATTGCACCTTTTACTTCTTGTCTCCACGATCTTCTTGGTCTACTCTTTTTCCTGCGGTTGGTGGAGATCCACTGTAACATTCTCTTTGGCCATCGTTGATCGTTTATCCTTTCTACATGGCCATACCATTTCAGTCTTTTGCATTCTATAGTTTCCAGGATGTCAATGTCTATGCCCATACGCTCTCTGATTTCAGAATTCGTTACTCTATCTCTTCTAGTGAGTTGGCAACATCTTCTCCAATAATTCATTTCCATTGCTTTCATTTTGGATGTGTCATTTTTATTTATTACCCAAAGTATTATATACTGAACCATACGTAGCAATGCTTTCTATGATACTTTTGTATATCCTAATTTTTGTGTTTCGGGTGATGTGGTTATTCCAAAGTATACTATTCAGTTGACGTATTGCTGAATTTCCTTGACCAATTCTAGTAGCTATTTCTTTTGTATTCCGACCATTGTTTGTAATGTTTACACCGAGATATTTATAGCTATCAGTGTTTTGAATTTGTTTGCTTTCTAGTTCTAAGTGCTTTCCTTCACCTCCCATCACTACGTACTCTGTTTTTGATGGATTAATTGATAAGCCCCACTTAGTATATTCTTCATCTATTTTTCGTAACATGTAGTGGATATCATCTTGATCTTCTGCAAGTATTACTTGGTCATCAGCAAAATGCAAGCTGTACAGTGTATGATCTCCAATTTTAACACCCATAGGTTCACATTTTCTTTTCCAAATATCCAAAACCCCCTTCAAATAAATCTTAAAAAGTGTAGGTGCAATGCAGCAGCCTTCGCGAAGTCCTTTGGTCACTTTTATCTTTTTTGTCACTTTTTGTCCAATCTTTATTACACTCGTCATATCATCGTACAACTCCCTTACAGCATTAATGTAAATCGGTGGAATATTCTTGCCTTCTAGCACCTGCCATAGCTTGCCTAATGGGACACTGTCATACGCCTTTTGAAGATCAATAAATACCATGTGTGTCCCCATATTATGTTCCAAACGCTTTTCTATTGTTTGTTTTAGGCAGAACACATTGTCTATACAAGAACGACCAGTACGAAAGCCACTCTGATCTTCAGCGTCTTCCCAACAATCTTCAATTCGGCTTTTAATTATCTTCTTGTGGACTCTACAGATTGAGTTAGTTACACTAAGCCCTCGGTAGTTCTTACAATCTTTTCTATCGCCTTTATTTTTGCATAGATTGCTGATCTATGCAGTTTTCCATTCCTCTTCTCCTCTCAAGAATAAATTAAAAGTATAAGCCAATAGCTGAAATAGTTTGTCAGGGCTATATTTAATCAGTTCAATGGTACTCCCCCCGGTCCTGGAGCCTTTCCATTTTTCATAGCATTGGCCTTTTTTTTTAATTTCTTCTTGTGTTATTTCAGTTTCTTCGCGGTAGGAAATATATTTTTGGTTGCCAATATCTTGGAATTCTGTTCGATCTTCTGTCAGCATTTGTTCATAATATTCGACCCATAATCTCTTTTTATTGTCATAAATTTCGACAAATAAATTGTGTGATCAATGTTTAGAAGTACTTGATGTGGTTAGAACATTATCTTTTAGTTATCGGATTTGGTTCATCGTCTGTAGTAGAAAAGTGCTTTTAATTTGTGCTATTACTTTCTTATGGTGTACCTCTTTTTTTTTTGGTTGGGTGCCAAATATGTGGTTAGAAAGTCTCACATGTTGGACGCCTTTTAGGTATTTAGAAATTAAGAATTTATAGGAGAGAATCACATATGAATGGTACTTCGCGATTGGTCTCCTACATATTTTGAAAAACTATGTGTCACAGTTTCCAGTCAGGTGGGGCCAGATGCCAATTCAATGTGTGAATATTTACTTCACTTAAATATTCACTAAGGACTCACGATACGTTAGGCCTGGCGTTATCATGCATTAAGACGAAATTATTTAGTATATAAGGTGCGAAATGAACAACGTGTTCAGACAAAATTTGTGTAATGTACCTACTTTTCGCTATTAAAAAACCCTCCACGTAAATACACTAAATACGTTCTTGATGTCAAGGAGATTCCACCTCAACACATCACAGAGCCTCCATTAAACAACCTTGTCTCTCCTATGTTACAATGTGTATATTGCTGACCTGGTCGATGAATAAGTCTTAAGCGTTGATCAGAGCTGTAAGAGTAAGACCCAAACTCAAATACTAGAAACGAATGCGTTAATCCGTTCACGAGAAAATCAACTATGAAAATAAGCATAATTTTTGGTGGTGCAAATTTTTCGTCAAAGTGCAACCAGGTGTGCCAAAAGAAGCGGGAAGGTCTAATATTTCGTAAAATTTACTTTGGATCGAAAATCTGAAAACCCCTTGGAGGTGGGGTGGGGGAAACTTAAAAATTTTAAATACAAACCCTCTTTTTTAATTGCAGATTCAGATTTTACGTAAAAAACCGTATTTAGTACTATAAAAATTAGTTTGCATACTTCTGATCTGTATTTGTTTTCTGCGATTACAGCGCCATCTATCGTGGCTGAAAAAAAATCAGATAAAGCTTGTTTTTATTCATGTTGGATCCGACTCTGCAATAAGAAAATAATATTTTATTTAAGATTTCAAGCTCCCCCCAAAAAAGTGACAATTGGAAAAAATATTCCGAATAAAAATCACTTATTTTTCGTAATAAATCCAAATCTGTAATAAAAAATGGAGGTTCTCATTTAAGATTTCAAAGTTAGTCTTCGCTCCACCCCAAGGGATGGGAGTGGGAGTCGTATTTGATGTCATTCGATAGATCTTTGAAAAATAATAAACACGTGTTTTTTTTTGTTTTTGGTTACTTATTTTTTCCCGGTTAGTGGGTTTCCATTTATGATTTTAAAGTTGCCCCCGTCCTGGTCTAATTCATCATTTAAATTAATAACAGATGTTATGTTACCGGCATCAAGAATGTTGTCTCTAAATCGCCATTTAATAATTTTGGCATATCTGATAACTTTTTATTATTGGATTCATCATGTAATATGTCACTTCAACTGTTAAAAATTATTAATCCTTACTAAGTAGCTCTCTATTGGACGAGTACTTATTTTGATCTTATAAACTGTTGTAACAATTAATATTATCTCCAGTTATTAGTTAAAATTCGTTTTCTTATTAAAATATATTTTTAGCATAAAAGAAGCTTGGAAATATGCCGAAGAAAGGGGACATGAACGAAAAAGTACACTTCAGAAACTTCAAGAAGATACACCCATGCCCTCAACTTCTGCAGATAGAAACTGTTTTAGTTTAGAATCACATTCTCCAATACCTGGGCTTGACGTCGAATGGATTACTCTGAAAATTACAGAGGTAATATAAAATAATAAGTTTATACATATGCGAAAAAGATTTGTTTATTTTCTAAGCTTTGTATATAAGGTACAAAAGACTGCATATATTCTCGATAAAGCAGTGGTTAATAGTGTACCTACCTAGCTGAATTTGTCGATTCTTTAAATAAACAACTGAAAACTGAAAGCTTTACACGCCAATAGACATATCAAAGTTTAAAATTTGAAATATAAAATGTTTAACTAATACTTTGTGATGAATAGAATAATTTGCATTCTGCCTTATTACATATTACATGTAAGAATGATTTTTACACCAAATTGTCGCCGTTGATAAGTTTTAATGTTTTGGTTGTGTTTTGTTACTTTTCTTCCTACATCTCTTACTTCTGTTTTCTACCTAATTCCCTAATGTATCTAATTTGTTTTATATTTGGAATTAATTTACCTTTTCATATCTCTTTGTGTTTTCTTTATTCTATTAATGTTTGATAAAACTTTGTAAAAATCCATATCTGTAACTCATAACTTAAGAACTGGGACTGCTCATCTAAATATACTATAGTCTTTAATCAAACTTTTATTTCTAGGTATTGTGGATAAAATAGCACAGCAAAAGCTTGTTATTGATCTCATGAATTAAAGACCAAATATTATGGCACAGGAGGACAAACTATTCAAACATTTCGCGTTTGAATCGGTATTAACAGTACGATATAATTATAATATTCGTGTTCTTACTTCTTCAGTTGTTCAGGCTGATACAAATTCAAATTCGGAAAGTCTAACTAATGTCTCCAAAATACTTCCCACTTCAGTAGTTAGCGCACAGAGGTGCTATCTGCATTTAGGGCGAGTTACGAAACCGATTTAATAAAATCGTTTTCTATTCCTTGGGACTATCGACATTTCAGTATCATTATCTATTTGATTTTTAATTTTTTGGCACATGTTCTATTATCTGATATATGATTCTAATAGGGATGTCTTGTTTATTTAAAATCGTCTTGGTGTTGTCTTTTACCCATTTTAGGGTCTACACGTGTGACTTGTTTTTCTACTTCTTTAATCATTACATGTAATTTGTCTCTATAACTTAGTTGTCACGAGATACCGATTCCAAAAAAGAATAAGCGAAAAAAGTAGAAACACATATATCACAGTAAGTGATGTAGTCGAAGAAAGCTGGGCAAAAATTAAGTCTAATATCGTACCCTCGGTCAAGGAAGTTCTTTGTGAAAAAAAAAATAAATAAAAATAAATCGTTCCCAAGGTGAGGAACTTCGTTGTTTTATACAGAAGTGAAGGAAAAATGCAAAGAAAAGAATAAGCTTACCTGAAATACATGTTAACCAAAACACAAGGGGCACACCATAATTACAAGACAATTAGAAACACAGAAGTTAAAACACTTCACAATTGTGTATTTTGGTATAAAAACATACAAGTACTTAAAAACTTTTTAAAAGTGTCGTCAACATTTAAAATTATGGCAGAACGTTTTCAATCTATACAGATCATCTTCAGTGCCTTTTGTATTTGGTGCTAACAATAAGGTGTCTATAAGACTTCCATGTGTGGATTTACAAAATATCACATTTTACATTTAATAATGTTGAGAGTCTAGGTCGATGACAATGGAATTGTTTTTAAAATTAAAATTTACTTTAGGGACTACATGTCTCTTAAGCTCGAATACTTGCACGTGGTACTTGTCAGTTGAAACGACGACACAGCCCAAAAAGACATTTTGGTCTGGAGATGGTAATACTTTTGCAATAATTATGTGACCTATTAAAAAAGCTTGTAAAAATGAACTTAACTAACTCGAAAGTCGATTTGAAATTTATATATATGATTTTGTTTTTTTTTCTCGTTGCACTTAAAATCAATTTATTTGTCAATCAGAATAGTTACTATCTATGTTGAGGCTGTAATTATTTATTTTTACATACTAATATATTCATAAAATGTTGTCGAGTAGCTAATGCTCTGCAGTAAATTGCAGATATCTAAAAATTAATTATTGTATATTTATTCTTTTTTAGTATGAGGACGCAGGTCATTTTTGGGCCAATAATTTAGAAAGTGAACCTTATCTTACCGCATTGGAAGAAATACTTAACAAGGCTATACTTCACACCGTTGTTTCTAGAAACCAAACCGTAAAAATAGGAACAATCTACGCAGCTCGATTCATCGAAGATAATATGTTTTATAGGTGCCAAGTTTTTTCAGTTTCGTCCACATATGCTGAGGTAATAAAATATAGATAATCTTTTTGTGTTCTCCAAGGTAAAACGCCCACAACGCAACTGTTTTAAACTAACGGTTGAAAACTAGTGTTAAAAAAAATTAGTTTTCAACTGAATACAATTGCGCCACCAGCTTCCTTTTAGTGTTAAATATATATATATATTATATATATATATATATATATATATATATATATATATATATATATATATGTATATGTATATTACTCTAGTCGTTAGTTACGAAAATGCCATTTGTAGCAATGTTTAAATTGCTTATTGGGGGCTAAAAAGGGGGACTGAACAATTACTGAGCTTGGGGATAAGGTAAGCAAATAAATTGATACGTTTGAGAACGGCTACTCGTGTTTTGGTTGGAGAGGTGAGTCGCCGATAAGGATTCCTTTATTTGGGGAAGACTGGCTACAAAAAAGAAATAAAAAAATTACTTACAGAGATGTCCTGAGCAACACTACACAAAAAGATTCCTAAACTATTTAAAATAGACGCCGTTTAAAAAAATCATCTTGTTTTTTAGAAAAAATAATTTGAAACTCCTGGTTTAAAGAAAAAATTACATTTTTATTTTTATTTCACGTAAACAGTTATTACTAATAAAAATATCTAAATTTATCAACAAATATTACATTGAGTTTAACCTTCTAACAAGACAGAATTAAAACTATGGTTATGTACCAAATGACAGAAAAGGGTGTACTAACTGTCATAATGTCGAAATGAAATACCAAACTTTTCTGAATTAATAATGAATTATCAAGGTTAATTTTATTTAAAAGGAAACTAAAATATGACAATTAGCTGATGCATAAAACTTATATTTATTTATAAACCTTTAAACTGAAATGAGAGCAAATCTTAATATAATAAAAATAAATGTTTATCTAAAAACATTTAACAAAACTAATTGCTTCACTAGCTAATTATTTCTTTTGAAAATATTTAAAAAGTTTGTTTCCTTAGATTTGAATACAAAAACACTGTCCCACACAAACTTCAAACGATCTGGATCCAACAATATAAGACACAAAATGGATGCTGACAAAAACCAAAACTGGGCCTCAGGTTATCCCGAATGATAACAATATGATTCTTTAAAACTCGGCTGCCTATTTTTCACTCAAAACCATGTAGGCCCACTTAGACCTCAGAAAGGCTGTTATCAGATCCCTTGACACCGAATACAGCAACAAACCTAATTCTCGCTTTAAAATTATCTCGCTTTAAAAGACTGCCACATAATATTTTGAGCTTAAATCACGTTTTATCAAAACTCATGGAATTAAATGAACACTTGCCTGTTTCTAAAATACTCTACGAGAGTAGATTCAGACCCTCAGTTGTTCTATTGATCGCTACACTAACGAATTCCCAAAGACAAAATTCGTCATGACTTCAACAATGAAATCGACTGCTCTCGCAGCGGATTCATCGAGGAGTGACTTCATCCTCAAAAATCATTATAAACATAAGCGGAAATATTCCCGATTATTTCGTGCGCTTATATCTAGGCGGAACAAAGATCAATCGAAAGAGCAATTATAATTATTATAAACGGACCCGAAAATGTTTACATTACCAATTTTAGAGACGCAAAAAGATCAAGAATTTTTCCGTGTTTTATGTGATATACGAAGTGAAACGAAAATGCTACACATTGAACCTCTAAAACTCATATTAACAAGCTGAATTTTGGCGAGAATGTCAATTTTGTGATCCCATCAATTGACAATTCATCTTCCCATCCAACACAACATAAACTGGCAGCTTATCATAGTATGTTACATAGATTAACAGAAATTCCGATGTCAAAATACAACTTTGAGACAGAGTTAAATATAATTAAGCAAATAGCAGTAAACAACGGATACAACGAACAAACAATTAATAAAATGTTAAATCAAAAACTACACAAGAAAGCCCTGAAATTAGTATTTCCACCACCAGAGAAAAAACCCAGTACCTTCTGCTCGATTACATATACAGGCAAAATAACAACAAAAATTGCCAAACACATAAAAAAAGAAAGGAATAACACCAGCTTTCCGAACAAATAACAACCTAGGCAAATATATTAAAAATAACAAGAGCAAAAATAAAAAACACTTAAATAGTGGTGTGTACAAACTTCAATGTGGCGACTGCCCAAAAACTTACATCGGTCAAACTGGTAGAAACTTTGATAAACGAATAGCAGAACATAAAAGGGCTTTCAAGAATAGAAAAACAGATTCGACATACGCACTTCACCTTCTAGATCATAATCATTCTTTTAATGACAAATTTAAAATTGTTCACATTCAAAATAAAGGCCTTAAGCTATCTTTGTTAGAATCTATGGAAATCAACAAATTAAAAAACACAGATATAATTCTGAATGACCAACTTGAGACAAACAGTTCTCCTCTCCTCAACCTATTTCATTAGAGACTATAAATTTGTAAAACCAAGCCAAAAATAGATCACTTGAGAAAGGCAATTAGCCGAAACAGCTGTAGTGATAAGATTTAAAATAAATTTTGTGGAAGTTTGAAAACAAAGTTTTCAGTGTTATATGGTTACAATTTTTAGGTACGTTTTATTGACTATGGAAACATGCAACGGGTACCTATAAAAGAGATTTATCTTTTACCAAATAGACCAGAATGTTTGTTTGAGCCCCTTGCAATTGAATGTGCTTTACATGGAATTAAACCTTCAAGAAGAGCTAATATAAGAGGAATATGGTCAGAAGCAAGCAACGACTTCGTGAAAAAACACACTTTTAATATTTTATTATACGGCAGGGTAAGTACTTTTATTATAAATTACGTAGTAGTATAAAATCAATGAAATTTACTAAGGGTATTTAATCTGTTATATGAAAATGAATCCCTATTTCCCCGTGTCTTATCATAATAGTAATAAATCGTCCTTCCGCAGATAAAGCAGTAATTAATTTCTTAATTAGGAACTTATTAAAATTTTTCTCCAATCGTGTCAAACGAGTGTTATTCTTTTCTTTCCTATAATTCCATTTGTAATAAAGAATTCCATGACAGTCTATACCTTTAATTGTTAAAATTTTTCTCCAATCGTGTCGAAAGAATGTTCTTCTTTTCTTTCCTGTAATTCCATTTGTGATAAAGAATTCCGTGACATTCTACACCTTTTCTGTGTTTCATTTTGTAATAATTAATTTCTTGGTTGTTTGTTTTTTCTCGATTTACTATGTTTTTTAGGTATTTTTATTTGTCGCAAGTCCCTATCTCCTTGTTTTCTAATCGTAACCAGATTTGTTTTGTCTGTCCCAATAGTGAGATATTTGTTTTTTTCGCTTAATCCTGTTCGCATTTTTGGTATTTTACGGCCAACTTTCTTACAATATATTTCATATTTTTTTTGTCAATTGTGACTGACTGGTCATCTGAAAATTGGAGACTGTATAAGTAAGTATTATTCGATCATATTCCCATACATTTTTTTCCAATCATGAAATGCTTTTGCTAAATCCATTATACACTGAGAGGAGAACGTCTTACCTTCCCCTGCCATCTAGCAAATTTATTTTAACTTTTAATGATTTAAAAAAAAGAGTAGGTAGCTTTATTTTAATGGGAACAACAAAAAATAATTATACAATTTTTTTTTTCAATTTTGTTGTATTCGGACATGAAGCATCATTTCACAATATCGAATGTGTCAATCTTCATAATTTCCACTATTACTCCACAAACAATCCATACTAAATAATTATAACGACCCAAACTTGGTGGTCCTTAAACGTTTGAGATGATACTTTAGGTAATTATCTAATATACCCTTTCTTCTTTAAGGAAACAGCAATCCGAGAGTATATTTAAATTTTTGGTAAATTATTTACCTATTTTACTTAAAAACGTGCCCCTCCCTTTCCGTAAAAAATTGTGGTATTTACATGACGGAGCCTCATCATAACGCACTCAGGTAAATTGAATGAGCAAATCTAGATCACCAGCATTAAGTAAATTAAATTAAATACAGGTTGTTCTATAAATAAAAAGTCGTTAATGCGGTACTGTGTTATGGAAGAATGGTATATTTATAACTAAGCTGTACCCTATAAATTTAACTAAAATGTGAAGCTGACAGCTGCCTCTTATTTTTGTAAATAACCCTTTGTATCGTACAGATGTAACGGACTTTGTACAAAAGTTGATCACCCTGTGTATATAATATTAGTGAAATATATTTTTGTTTACTGTGGCTGTCACCTGAATATGGTTCATCGAAATAACAAAACTTTGATACCGTTATAATAATATATTATAAAAAGTTTAAAAATCAACGTGTCCGAGCAATTTTGTTGTATCGTTAAAATAAACGAGTTAACAGGAGAAGTAAAACTTTATCCTTTCACTGTATAGGTAGCAGTACTTTTAGCGTTTTATTTATATTGTTTCTCATAATTGTTTTCCAAAGTTTGGAAAACTAAACTAAATCAAATTTGTTCTTCCTTTTGGTAGCTGTAGTATTCTTCTATGAGGTCTCCTAATATCCTTGTATATACATGATTAAGTGTAACAGTTACCAAAATACCACGAAAGTTATTGGGGAATTTCTTAAAACCTTTTTTCTGCTTTGATGCCATATACCATTTTTCATTGGTTGGGAACAGGATACCCATTTATACACAATAACAATTTTCATGTAGAACTATATTATTTGTGAATCCATTGTTTCATTTGTGAATCAAGTGTTGATTAAAATATGAATTAATTATTCGTGTTTTGTTATACTAATTAATATAATAAATGATATAATATATGATTGGTTTAATATTTTTTCGTTTTATTTTAGGTACATTCCGTTGTCGATAAGGTAGTATATTTAGAGATCTACAAACGTGATCCACACATGAATAACTCTAAATCACTAAACCGGGTTATGCTTGAAGACGGATGGGCTGAACCCGCAGTAGAGAGTTTTCTGTCAAAGGTAGGTTACATAGTTATTATCCCATTATCAGTGGATGATGACGAAAATCGTTAATATTCTTATGAAGCTATTTAAATCGGCAATAATTTTTTATTTATTTGCCCAAATAAGAATAAAATTATATTGATTTATATCGATTAAAAAACCTTTAATTTATTCTCAAAATCAGTAACAAATTGCAATCAATTCAACAAGTTCAACCACTAAAAAAAAGTCAAACTTAAAAAAAGTTAAACTAAAAAGAGTGTCAATAAAAATAAATAAAACAAATAGATGGTAACGAAAGAGCAGATAGTCCAGCTAGGTCCCCAGTACAGCGCATCATTGTAATATCTAACGGTGCATTTAGATTTAAAACGTTACTTAAAAGCAAAATTGCACGATGTTTGGCAAAACCAATGGAATAGAAGCGACACTAAATTGATATAAATGAAGTCTTCCGTCATGACCTGGACTTTTAGCCTTCAAAGCAACAACACCAATTCCTAATATCACGTCTCAGATTAGAACACACAGCTGCAACACATGAACCCTTGTTGAAAAGAGAAGAGCAACCAGTGTGTTTTGTTTGTGAATGTAAAGTGACAGTGAAGCACATTTTGATCGACTGTTCAATATACTCAGTGGAAAGACTATATCACTATCTTCAACTTAAAAATAAATTCTAGAAGAATCTATATGCATAGCTGACTTAGTAGAATTCTTAAAATCTATACCTTTTTTTAGTAATATTTAAAACAATATTCAATAATTAAAATATATAGTATATACCTTATTTGTAATTGATATTTTTGTATATGTTTATGTATGTTTTATTTTTCTTTATCACTTTTTATATTTTGATATGTTCATAATTCTAAGTGGTTGAAGCAAAATAAATAAAAAAAATATTTTAAATAACAAAATATTCGGATTTAAGATAAATATATTTTCTTTACAGGTTGACTCCGAAAATCGACAAAAAGTACATTCATCTGACAATCCAAGGGCAGAAGCTGTAAGATTGAGTTTTGATAAAGTTCAAAATTATGACGATTTTGATGCGCCAAATATTTCTACAAGAGGGAAAACAATACATCTGAAAGGTCCCTTCAGTCCATTAGAAATGAAAGTGTACAGTTGTCTCGAAAGTTCAAACAGTAAAAGTATTGATGTTGAAGGGTCTTCAATTAATACTGTATTGTTAGACACTGCACCTCAGGATCAACACACCAGGTACCCTACAATTTATACAAATTGTGTAAGATAAAAGATTAGATTATAGAGACATACGAATAATTATATTTTTTTTTCTATAATTTAAACACAATACTAAAAATCTAGAAAGAAAGTTCTACAGAAAAATTAGCATTAGTTCCCAACATGATAAAAAACAAATTTAATGGTTTACTTGTATTTTATTAGTAAATATATAATTATTTACTTAAAGTCACACATGCAATATAATAAAAATTACAAATGCATACTTATTACACAACAAAATGTTGCGTATACGCAACGTTGGAATTAGTAACAATAAAATTATTGCTTTGTATGGAAAACAATCAGTGTGTAGATGAACGTTACACTTAGTATACGTGTTTGGCATTGTCTGCATCTTCTTTTGTTTTATTTTCTTTCTTTACTGTCATGTGACCTGTATCTTACGCTTGCAGGATTTTGTATTTATTGTATGAATGAAAAAAACACAATAAAATGCTATGATGTGTTTATTGCATTAAACAGCGTGACAATTTTATTTGTTTTCAATTCTGAACGTGAACTCAAAAAATGACTAAATTTTTATAAAATGCCTACGCATCTATGCGTATTAGATTTAAACTGAATTTAAGGAGATATGGTTTTAGGTGGTCAGTCATAGTTTGATTGCGTCTATAAAAGAGTTTATTTCATTAGTTGGTCCTGCTGTTTTTTGGGGTCCATGACCTAGTTTATCCGTTTTTATGAAAGTGACTGCTATGTAAGACCTTAATTTTAACTATGATATTTGTGATTTATTTGGCAAATTTATACTATCTGCGAAGTTACAATATGTACTGTTGATTAAATTGACAAAGGGGAGCAACCATGGCTTTTTTCCATTTACGTTTATTCTGTAAGTGAATAAGTCGTTGTCATGTAAAGCTAGCCTTCCTATATGCTGATTATACTCAGCAGTAACTCTTGGCTGAGTGATGCAATCGTATTTTTTCCTTCCTATTGTATCTTTTTGCGCTAATTAGCACCAATTGTGCAGTTATTGGTTTCAACTGTCACCACCGAATTGTCGTTCCATTGAACAGAATTGCTCGTTCGTTGTCAAATGAAAAATCGTATGTACCGTGATATTTTTTTTACAGTTTTAATTATGCTATTAGACTTACATAATTCTCGAATTTTCTCCATAGCGTAAATATCTTTTTTCCTTTAGTAAACTAAATAACTTTGTGAAGAAAAGAAATTATCAAAAAACACTCGATTATGAACAGATTGTTGACCAATTCTTATGTTTCTATATTTTATCCACAATTCCTCCACATGTTACCCCGTCTCCTGGCTCTCCATTTCATGATCCATTTGTCTCCATTACTCTCTCGCAACGGTTCCAATACACAGATTATCCACATTAGTTATGTCTTATTTCACATGTTCATCCTTCTTTAGGTTTAACATGTTTCCTCTGATTTTTGCCATTACAAGAATGTGTCACTATCTATGTTTTGACCTCGGTAGCTTCTGACGTCGATGAAATCGGAAGAATACCTTGCGTCTATCAGGATGTGATATATCTGGGTAACAGTTTTGTTGTCATTGGATTTCCATTTTCCTTTGTGTATCATTTTATGAGGAAATTCGTGTCTAGAATTCATTTTTTTTCGTCGTCTTCCTGTTCTTCTGAAGGTGCGTCACACTAAGTAAGCTATAATTAAAGAGTTTTACTTTAGATGTAGAAAACATATTCTGTTGTGTATGAGGTTTAAGTTAGGAACTAATTGATTTGCTTTTTTACTAATTATAAAAGTATGTATGTCTGCTACAGTATATATTGCAGCCTCTTCTCTAGATAATCTCTGAACCAGTCCATCTCATTTCTTGAATCGCTAGTACATCGGCTTTCATTTTATCCAATTCTTGTATAAGCAATTTTAAGAGCACCTAAGGCATAAAAGGTTTTAAAGACGAACCTTAACCTTTTATCGCTCTTCCTAGTCTTCGGAGGACCGTTTTTTCCCGCCCTCGTTAGCCATGACCCTGCTTCCCACTGGGGTTGATTATCACAATTTTCCACAGGTTACCGGGGTTCACCTCGTGGAGGTGAGTGTCGGAATTTAGTAGGAGAGGCTAGTGACGCTAACTGATACAGCTGCACCAACTGGTACAGCGTCATATTTACTGAGATAATATAAAACAATAAAATAATAACATATACAATACAAACAACAAGACCGACAAGGAGGGAAGTATAATGGCTTAAAATTATAGAAAGAAAGGTTATAATGAAAGATAGTTTTAATAATGGTACCAAAGAAAATTAACATGGATAGGTGTAGGATGTTACCGAATCACCCGATTGACAAAAAAAAAAAAGAAAAGAAAGAATGTGGTAAAATTTATCCAATCATTGATTATAAGATAATAAGCATAAATTTAAAAGAGAGAAAGATACTATTCTCAAATGTAGCACAAAATGGAACTCTGGTTGTGAAAGAGATGGAGAGATAGGAAGACCACGAATAGGATGGAAGGACCAAGTAGAAATAATCATGGACTAAGAATAGAAAGCTGAATGAAACTAATAGCGGATTGAACAAACTGAAGAAATTTATCTACTAAACTATTTTTTTGCGAAGTTAGATACTTTTTGACAGGTTAGAAGAGGCTGGAAATTACTATACAACCAAGCACACGTGCTCATAGATTATTTCATTAGAGTATTTCATCGACCTTTTTTGCAAACTTATACTAATATTCTATTATTCTTATCAGAAACTAGTTTTGGACGACCCGGGATTTTACCTTTTCTTATCGAACGTACTTTATTATGTGGATTATATAACACAATATTGAGTATGTTTTGTGATTATATTATCATTTAAAATATTGGTTATTTAACTTTATTATCATCACTTTTAAAAGAGCTTATTATTAGCTGGATAATATTAAACTTTTGTACGGAAAAAAAGTTTTTTTCGAAACTATTTTACGGATAAAATTTTTTCGTTTATTGCAAGTATTCTCAAGAAACTCAAGCTAAATTCTACCAAAAACTTTAAGTTGGTTGCCTACATTTGGCGCAACTTTTATATATATTAGAAACTTACTTTCTTCATATATGCGATAAATTTCTAAGCGAATTTAATTTTTGACGCTGTTATCACTTAAGTCAGTCGTTAATTTCCTTTTGCGACTTTTCTTCTTTAAAGTGAGGGTTTTATTAGGCTCAACTTTATATTTACGCACACTTTTTTCTGAGACTTTCAGACATTTGGATGTTAACTGAAATGTTTTTGTTATTAAGAACATATGTAACATTTACCTAATTCGATGAATACATTTTATTAACCAACTTATATTAACAGGGTTTTCATTCGGCAAATAATTTAAAAAAAAATGTAGTCATTTTGAATAAACCCTTGTGCAGTTTCATTACCTTGTAAATTAGGAACAGCATCCTTACTTATCTAAAAATGTTATCTTTTAACACTTAGACTGCCACCATACTGAAAAAAAGAGGGTCCTTGCAGCCGGACATATTTCTATCCCATATAAATAACATACAAGCGAGAATCAAAAGCTGATTCTCGCGGCAACAGAATCAAATTGGCCGTGCATCACGGCATGCTTCTCATGGCAGTCAAAGTGTTAAAGAACATTTTATCATTATTAAGAAAAACTTACCAACGCATTAGGTCATGGAACAAATGGAAAACTTGGAATATCCATAATAATAAAATTTAAAATATAACTAACTAATTAACTAAATATAACTAACAAAAGAATTAAACAAATATAGTAAAACAATAAAATTATATTAAATAAGATAAAAAACGCGAACAATACAAATATTTACTACAATATTTTAAATAATTGTAAAATTCAAATATTCTATTTCAAATATACAGGGAAAATTTGATGGGTTTAGTATACACTTCCACTATTTAGAATAATTCTCCTTTTTTTTCCAAGAAAGAAGTCTGCAATAGTTAGTATACTTGAGCTATTAATACTGAGAAGTAGGAATTGTTGTGTTGTAAGTTTCCGACAATGAATCTGTCAAAATATGCCCGAGCTAAGCGAATGGAGTATATGTGTTCTACCTTATTAGAACAGCCTTAATTTGTAAAGAAATGTAATTGCTTGTAAATAAATAATTGAATAAATTTTTTTTAGTTTTAATATTATATAAAAATAGTTTTATTTATATATATATATATATATATATATATATATATATATATATATATACTATATATATATACTAATATATATATACTAATAGTCGATAATGTCTGCTCATGTTATACCGTTATATTTTAATAAAATATTCTTGGATTTTTAAGGTTACTGGTGGCAGCTTACGTATCGCAATCGGCAAGCAGTGATCGTTTGAAATTACGGCAGACTACTCTAATGCCAAACATACCGGGACTACCGATGTTGTTAACACTTCTATTTTGTCCCAAAATGAGTCCCAAAGTAACTGACGATGGTACAAAAGTCGCATCTATTCTCTGTGGTCTTGGATATGATCCAATCACTTTAAAATCATATTATCCATCACATGATTTTATTTTGACTCTTGACACAGAATTAACGGAGGAAGAAGTTAATAGAGTAAGTAAATTTTTATTTATATAAATAGTTTTACGTAAAAAGAAATAAGGTGAGATTGATGTAAAATTATGACAGTAGTAAAAACTAGATTCTTCCAATGGGAGATACTTATGTTTTGTAAATTATAAGTGTATTTTTAAGTATATTATTAAAATCATAATTCTAAACAGGAGTTGCTTAAATATGTTATTTTATTTGTAATATCTCTAGTACATTCAAGTCGGTCGATATGTCAAGTTATGAGATTATCAATTCTACTAGATTTATCAATACTGTCTAATCTACGATATCTGATTTCGTAGATATCGTAGAACTCTATCTAATCAGCCTTAAACGCCCACTCTTGGGCATAGGCCTCCCCTGTTAATCTCCATTGGTCTCTATTTTGGGCGATCTGCATCCAGTCCTTTCCTGCCGTTCTCTTAAGGTCGTTAGTCCATCTCATCTGTGGTCTTCCTCTTTTTCTTTTCTTTTCCATGGTCTCCAGTGTAGAATTCGCTTATTCCATCTTTCATCTTTTTGCCGGAGAGTGTGACCGGCGAAGTTCCATTTAAGTTTTGCAACCTGTCTTGATATATCGTTCACCTTTGTTTTTTCTCTGATCCATGAGTTTCTTTTCCTGTCTTTAAGACCGATACCCAGCATCTGTCTTTCCATTGCTCTTTGTGTTTTGGATATCCTGTCGATGTTCTCCTTTGTGAAAGTCCATGTTTGTGAGCCATATGTGATAACTGGTAAAATGCACTGATTGAATACTTTCGTTCGCAAATATTGAGGGAACTTTTTATTTTTTAGAATATATGATAGTTTACAAAATGAGGCCCATGCTAGTCAGGTTCTTCTTTTTATTTCTTCTGTTTGATTGTCCCTGTTAAACTTTATTATCTGTCCTAGGTATATGTATTCTGCCACCTGCTCTAATTTATTCTGTTTGACTACTATTTCTAATTGGTCTTCTTGGTTTGTCATAGTCTTGGTTTTACTATAGTTCATCTCTAGACCTACCTCTGTCGCTTTTCTATCTAGTTCCTCAACCATCTTCTGTAACTCTTCCTTCTTATCTGTTATCAGGACTATATCGTCTGCATATCTCAAGTGGTTCAAGAGCTCTCCATTTATTCTTATTCCGTGTGTATCCCATATTCTTCCTAGCATGATCTATCATGTTTACTGTAAATCCGTTTGGTAAGTTCCAGGTGCTTGTGTATATATCTATTGGACCGAAGTTAAAATTCTACAATCGATTAAGGCCGATCCTCACGATTCTGGGCATAGGTAAATTCCAATGTAAAAGTTTATATCAAATAACGCAAAAACTATGGCAGATATTGAGATGATTCTTTTTTTATATGGAAGGTCTAAAAAAGTTCTAGTGCACTATTTGGTTGTAAATTAATAAATTGTTTAAACAATATTTTTTTTTCAAATATTTTTGGTTAAAATAAACGAAAAAAATTTTTTTTTTAAATAGGGCACTACAGAATTTGACCCACTTTCCGAATCTGTTTTTATTTTTAACATAAAGTGTAACACAAAGCAGCTATTTGATATAAACTTTTAAAAAATTTCAAATTTTTGCTAAACGCAATTTTCTCTCCGTCAGCACAGGGTGTCCTTGTCGGTAGCTTCTGGATTCTCGCCAGGTAGGTAAAACCCTCGGAGGAGGATAAATAAAGTTGAATAACATTATTAGGGCTTATTCCGACTTTTGACAAACCAGTGTGTTTATTGTATTTAAAATAGGAAATGTTATATAAATAAGCAGTAAGTACCTATAATTTTATTAAATTTTTATATGAATAGAAATATTTTCTGTTGATTTTCCATTTTCTTTCTAAATATTTATACTGTTTTTATAATAATACAATTGTTTCAGTATTTGCTTATATAATAATAATTTATTATATAGAAACAGCGTAGAGTTTTGGTCAATCATCCAGTACATTTTTTTTGTATTTCAATCAGAATTATTATTTTCTTTTCTTCTTTACATGAGCTCAGAGTAATAACCAAATTTGCAGTATTTGAATATGAAATTTAATTATTTATATTTATTGGTTAGCAACCTACCAATCGTAAAATCAAATACTGCTCAAAGAAACAATGTACAGTCTCGGAACCGGATTGATACTATGAAGACGACTACGGCAAGAAATAAGGACAAGCGAAAAACATCCAAAACCCAGATGAGAATTACTTGGAATATCAGATCACTCAACTCAAGGGACCAAGAAATAACCCAAGTGTTGAAAGAGAAAGAAATAGACATTTGTGCTCTACAACAAACAAAAAATAAAGGAAAAGGTCAATCAAAATTAGGTGAATACATACTAATCTACAGTGGAGTAGCAAAAGAAAACAGGGCCAAAGAAGGTGTAGCCTTACTAATACACCAAAGGTATCAAAATTACATCAAAGAGTGTCAATACATATCAGAAAGAATAGTAACATCAAAAATAAGAATGGAGAAGGAAAACCTGAACATTATCGGAGTATACGGCCTAGAAAATAATAAGCCTCAAACAACAAGGGAAGTGTTTTACGACCAATTACAACAAGTAGTAGATCAAGTCAAAGAAAAGATGATAATTCACAGCTAATTTGATTATAATAATTAAGAAACCTCATTTTTTGCCATGTTAAGGAATGGGATTTGTATTTTTTGTTAAAAAATTTGCACAAACATTGTACCTTTACAGGACCCTGTACGAATTTTTAAAAATGTAGTTCAAATGGTGACTAGGAAGAACCTACAAATCCAAACCGAACAAGCAATTTCAAACTAATAAAATTTTCTATATCTCCGGATCTACTCAATGGATTTTGATCATTCTTATTTTTTTATTTTGTATGATCTATTTTTAATTTGTATGTAATTTCTACGTACATTAGGAATTAGTAATTTGTTTATATATTAATTAATTAATAAATAGTCTAGTTTGTTTAAACAATTCGTGCAAAACAATTTTCTTCCAAAAATCTATTTTTTTTAATACTCGTATCAATAATCATAGAAGCAGTCGCGTTTTTTGCATTAAATTGTCAATAATTAAAAAACAGCTCCAAATTCAAGACAAAAAAAGAAGTAGGTTTTCTTCCTAGAGGTCTACAATAACTAAAAAAGTTGTCAGCGACCTGGATTATTGAGTGTCACGAACATGGTCTATTTTTTGCTTATTTCCCTGGAGTATATATTTGATTAACATCTGTGTAATTTCTTTGTCACTTCCTCGCTGGTTTTGCTTATTGCTATGATAGCAATATCTTCGGTAAATGTTGCAATTGTATATTTTCTAGGACAATAATATAACACATATACAAAAGGTAAAGACACTTCTTTGTGGCAGCCCTGCTGTAATATCTGTCAATTCCATGTATGTTTCTTCCTGTTTAATTCTGAAATATCTTTCCAAGATGGAGGAGTCAATTATTTGAGAGTATCGTTTTGGTAAATGTAGTCTTAGTTTATAGTTATGGCGTCTTTGCCATACTTTATCATATACCTGAGTCACATCCTAAATTATTGATATAAGGTTGAATGCTCGAATAAATGAACTTTAAAAAATGAAGGGGCCCTCGTAGCGCAAGCGGTAGTGTGCTTGCCTCGCATGCCGGTGGTCGTGAGTTCGAATCCTACCGCCGGCAAGAACAACTAGGCATTTTTTAAAAAAAAAAAAATGTCTATAGGCCCCAGGTCGACTCAGCCTGAATAAAATGAGTACCTTGGGTAAAAAAACCAGGGGTAATAATAGGCGGTTGAAGCGTAGCACTGGCCATGTTACCTTCCTTGTATACCGTAGGCCCTAGATATAGCAGACTACCCTGCTATACTCCCAAAGCCGCGTGCGGTATAAAACGGGAGACTATTATTATTAAAAAATGAAGGCAAATTTCGAGCACAAATTTAATAATAAAATCTTGCCCAAGTACTTTCGCTTTCTACAGCATCATCAGGGGCATCTGCGCTTGCTGGATAGACCAAAACTGATTTCTATTACTATCCAGTGCAAGGACAGTTATTTTGTTATTTATATCGAATAGAGAATAGTAGTTTGCGGTATGGACCCCAAAAAATATTTTATTCGAAAAGATTGATAAATATATGGAACTGTGGGAAAATATGCTAGGTACAACAATTTCAAGATTTTTATTATAATTTTTATTTGAAACACCTTCTGAAGAAACATTAGACATAATTCTATATTTATATAGTTTCATTTTATCAATTTTAATGATCGTGATACTAATTAGATAAGATTTTTATTATAATTTTTATTTGAAACACCTTCTGAAGAAACATTAGACATAACTCTATATTTATATCGTTTCATTTGATCAATTTTAATGATCGATATACTAATCAAATTTTTATGATATATAATAATAATCTTTTTTTTATAATTTTTATTTTCCGTAAACTTCATTCTACGTTAAACTTCAGACAGCCAATTTTTCCGTAAAAAAAATGACAAATAAATTATGTATGTACATTTGTTACATTGTAAATTTATGAATAGATTATATTACTTTGATCTGTTATTATATTTACTCAAAATACCACTAAAGAGATTTATGGTCTTATTGTATGCCAAAACCTGTCACTGCAGGGGTTGTCTCGGTGTATAATCGGCTCGAGTAAAAGGTAAACGCATTTTTGACCTGGGCTTGAAAGAGATCTAAACGAAGTTTAGAATATTACTTCATGAACAGATTTTGTTTTCGTAAAGAAAGAAATTTTTGAAATAGAGATAGCAAACTGAAATTTACCGTTAGAACTTTCGAGGATAAGCCTTAAAAAAAAAAACTAATATAAAAAAGAACTCATTTTTGAAATCAGAGCATCAAAAGTATTTAACATTTGTTATTTCTCAAGCACTATTTAATTTTGTAATTTTTTCATTTTGTTTGGTTGTGTTATCATTCCTGTTCCATACCATGCAAGTTAAACGTTTACTTTGTATTCCAGTTCTTTTTTGTTTAGTTTTTTTGACGCTTATAAA